CTTAAGAAAACCACATAATCTACTCAACTTGAGTTCTAGAGCTGGCTGATATCCATGCTCCGCCCACACATATGACACATCTGATGCTAAACCCTGCTTGTTTTCTCTTTCTTATTTTTTCCACTACTTCCAGAACATTTTCCATGATTGATTTTGGATTTTTCAATACTTTTGTACTCTTTCTCACAGACATTTTGTTAACAAGACAATATATTTTAGACAGAATTATTTCAACTCAATATTCGTTTTCTAAAGTAATATCTTTCAAAATGTTAATGAAATGTGTGAGGTGTGCTGGATGGTGGCTTTCCAGGAGTAGCACTGGAGATCTCTGCTTTGAACATAAGTGTGTGCACTTCGTACCTAAGTAAATTTAAAGTGTTCCAGTCGGCTACTGTTACGCTGAACCCAAAGTATTGATTGATAAGTTATAAACAGGCATGGATCATCATGGGTTTTATGGGTGTATGCCCAGCAGCCTGAGCCACTAGGGGGCCCCATGAGAAATAATGAGAAAATCTAAACAGCTGTTCTGATTCACGGTAGGACCTTTATTAGTATCACATTGGGAAAAATGAACTTATTTGTCATTGTGTCTCTACTTAGCAACTGTTCTGCTTTTTCAATTACTTCAGTCGAGGTTTCAGGCTTTTTAGCATTGAATTAGAGTTTCTTTGAATGTACTTTGAATTTGAAGCTCCAGATTTTAAAAAGATGTGCCTGAGGGAGCTGTAAAAGTGAGACCTCTAACTTCAACAGAGTGGAGAATCCCCATTTCCAAAGCCAAATATAAAATGTCAGCCACCCGAGTTTAAAGAAAACAAAAGTTCCATCATCCTTGTTGTGATCTGCAAACTGTCATCAGAGGTAAGATATAAATGTAAGAAATATATTTTCCACACCCACTGTGGCAGTAGCTAGAATGCTTGACAGTTTGGATATTTAAGTTTGCTGATTTTTTCTGTCTTTATGTATATTTCAGCTTTCCATTTTTTTTCATCTTCATTTGGGTAAATGTTTTGCTTGTGAAGATCTAATGCATGCTTCATAGGGAAGTTTTGCACTGGTTGTTGGGTCTATGTTAACCTGTATTCTCATTAATGTGTGGGTAATCTTTCTGTTGTTTAGTCTTGATTGGAAAAAAAATATGCACTTATAGCGGTGACATGCTCAACACTGCAGTTAGTGTGCTGCCATTGTGGTGCTGAATAGGCCTCGTGTAACCTGCTGTGGCATCATAAAAAAAAATCACCACCCCAAAAAGGTAGCTAGGTAGGGGCCCACCAAATATTTGTGCCCAGGGCCTGCTAACTTGATGAACCAGGCCTGGTTATAACATAGCTGGAATGATGTAATTCTCAATATGTGAAAGCACTTTCCATGATACTTTAAAAAACAAAACAAAACAAATGATACACGTGTCCCAAGACTGCTTTTGAGCACTGTATGTATTTTCTATGCATGTGGAAGGACACAGTGTTAGGATAGAGCAGACGTAACACATTTGTAGACAGAGCATGGATAGATCAGTCAACTCTAACTGTAACTTCACTAACTGACTTTACCAAAATAAAGACAAACTAAGTGCAGATTAATGCTGTTGGAATATGGATAGCATTTGTTCTTGATTCAGGGACATACTGTTGTTTGAACAACTAATAATCACCAAAACAGTGAGAAAATTGTCAAATATTGTAAGTAACTTTTCTTTATATATGCAATTTTGAAAACATGCTGTTGTTTTGATCATTCCAAACTTTTAAATGCCAGTATATTAATAAATATTGCACCTGAAATATTTGTACCCTTTCTTGGGCAGAATTTCTTGTTTTTCGCTCATCTAACATTAAGTGGATTTTACCAAGACTCATTTTTTTCTCCTCTGTATGTCAGTACAAACTACAAGAGACGCACAAACAAATAATAATTAGTTATTGATTATTAATTATTAATGATTAACATTTTGGGGTTTAACCCCTTGAGCCCTAGGTTTATTATTCAGTTACTGAACTTGAGACTTATTATTGAGTGACTACACTGAAGAAGGCAATGCATTGAATTATCCTGTTTCAAATGTGTACATTATTTCCACATAGATAAAATTATGTTACGTTAACTAATATTGCCAAAAGTAAGTAAACTGAAAGACAAAATTGTGTTAGTATAATGTAGTTCATTTGTGCAGAAATAGTGCACACAATTGAATCAGGTAAGTTCAATACTTTTACTTTTTTTCAGTTAGATTATGTTGTAACTTATATTTGGTAACTACTATGAAACTAATATGTAGTTATAGGAGTGGGGAACTGAAATATAGGCCCACATACAGGCCCTTCTAAAGGTCTAAGGGGTTAATATTTGTGAACTGAGCAATGCTGCCCTAAAATAATCGGTTAAAAGTAACATTTCTAGGAAGACCTCTATATATACACCAATCTACAGCTCATTCTTTACAGTAATTAGTTTAATCATGGACAGATGTTATGCTGTAAACCTGCTGAGTACAAAAATACACTAACTAGTGTTAAAAGCCTAAAACTACAACCACACTCAGTGTCAACAACCTCTGTGCTGGACTGCAATGACTCTGTGAGGCATATGGATGGTTACCATGGAGAAGACAGTTCCATGGTGCTCTTACAAGAAGCAACATTCTTTAAGCTGGCAGTTTAGAAGCTGTGAAAGCCAATCACGGTAAGAGACACCGAGAAGATCTCCATGGTGATTGGCTGGGCTGAAGCCATGTGGTGATGTCATAGAATAGTTCCTGATTGGTCAGAGCAGCATTGGTGGCCTGGTTTGTTTGGTCCCGTACGTCTGTGTCACCCCTGTGTCCACACTCCGCCTTACAAGCGTACTCTGCGATGTCCAATAAAGTGCACTTGGTAATGATCAAGCTGTGATTTGGGACATGCTCTCTGTATCAGTCAGAAACTCTCTACTCGTTAAAGCAAAAACCAAAGCCAGAAATCAAATGCCTGATAACCAGGCTGCCACAAATCATAGAGAAACAAATACAGCAATAAATCCTGTAAACAAGAGAAACAGCCAATTCGGTTACCACAAAGAAAGCTCTCTACCGCAATGAAAAAATTACCCGGAACACAAACTAAGTGCAAAAAAAAAAGATCCAGAAGACATAATAACAATCTTAAAAATAAAGGTGCCATTAAGTGTTTTTTGCGTGATGCCATAGAAGAACCACCTTTGGTTTTCTAAAGAACATCTGAGTTAGGGGTGGACAATGTGCCGATAAATTATGTCACATCACGATATGTTTTTCTGAGTATATTGTCGATATTTTTAGTACTTAAAGAACACTGCATGTTTGATTACAAAGACTGCACACAATATTGTCGCTCCAAATGCTTATGGAAGTTGTAGTCAATTATTGAGCTGTTCTGACGGCGTGGCATGTGTAATATTGAACAGCATATCCCAACTGCCCAAACCATCTGCTCTGCACAGTTGAGTGAGCTGTGATGCAGATTAAGTTCTGAACTTTATGGCAATTGTAGTCTATTGAGCAAATGAAATAGTAAAGAGCACAACCACGTGTTAACAAGGATAAGCACAAAATGCCCAGAAGTTGTTCAGTTTAGAGCTGTGTTGTCATATATAAAGCTAGCAATTTAAGCTTTTACCATTTGCTTGCTGAAGAAAGTAAGTCTTCCCAAAGAAAGAAGTCTGTGAAATTGGAAGCTAAGGCACCCCCTGCTGTTCCTACTGCCTTTGCTATCTTTAAACTATATACTATCTTTAGCCTGTTTCTCAAGAATAAGCTGACAAAATTACAAATCATATATATTTAAATAATATTGAGCCTTACTTTTAGAACTATTTCACTTCATGTTTTAAGATTTGTGACTCTAAATCTAACATGCATAACCATGCATACCTGCTGCTGTGGGTTTCCTCTCACGCAGATGCAGAAAAAATGCGACTTAAGTACTAGTAGTGCCTTTGTTGGGAATGAGAATTAATCAGGAGAAAATTATGAAATTTTATTCACACTTAAAATGATATTGTTCCATTTAATTTTATGTCATTTTTTATGTCATTGCTTAAAAATGTTCATTTGTGCTACTACACTTGCAACTTTCATAGCACCAGTGATACATGTTCAAAAATTTATGTATAGCCCTGATTAGGCCTGAATAACTGGATTTAGAGCAGTGCAGTATGTAAAAGGTTGAACTGAAATCACTGTATTCATAGTGTTGGGCACCACTGGGGATTTTATTGTCTATTCCAATTGATCAAACCTTAGAAAACCTAAATATTGTCATCCACATCATGTATTATGAAAATTTCTGGAAGTATCATGATGTTTTGCTTTTGCCCGCCCTACTTTCAGTGGATGGTCTTTTCAAGAACCGTTTTTGTAAATGAGATGTGCGAGTGTGAAGAGCCTTTTCAAAATTTAAAAAAATCTTCACATAATGGAACAGTTCTAAGAGAATTGAAACTTTTACACAGTACGAAGTTTCTTTAAACCTTCAAAAAGGTTCTTCTTACTCACAAATCTCCAAAAGTGGTTCTTCTATGGCATTGCTCAAAGAACCCTTTGTGCAGTCTTTTTTATTCATTAAAGAGTGAAGTGCAAAGCAGAAGAGACGTTGTTACCATTAGCTGCTTTATAGGTGAACGTCATGCAGTCCATGCATATGAAAAAAGCTAGATGGTCGTAAATATAAAAATAAGTGTACAAAAATGGCATAGCATTTCATTTTGCCCCCCCCCCCGCCAACATACAACTTCTTGGTCTGCCCCTGTGCAGTGTCTACCACTAAAGACGAAAAAGATAAAACGCATGCATTCCATGCAGTGCTCCTTGCTTTGCAGCGGTAAAGCATGATGTTGATATATATTTATATATTTTCTGAAGAATATTATGTCTGTATATGTGAGCATATGCGTGTGTTTGTGAGTGCTGTACAGAGTCTGTAGTTTTTTTAAAAAGTGTTTGTTTGTTATCTTTGTGTGTGTATGTGTGTATTTGTGCGCGTATGCGTGCGTTTTTCAAGGTGGGGTGGTCCACGCTCCCTCAGTGGCAAATCCGTCTCCAGTAGAAGACAGTGGAACGGGTCCACTCGGAGTGAAAGGGTCAGTGTCCGTATCTGTCTCTCCCTCGGCCAGATAGCGGCGATCACGTCCCCAACTTGACCCTGCTGTGACTCCCGAACCTTTGCCCATGACCTCTTCTCTCTCGGCGGAGATGCTGAAGCCGCTGGGTGACCGTTCCAGCTCCTCATGGGTGACGGACAGCAACGACAGCGGAGTGCCTGCCCCCTGACCCACGCAAACGTGTTCTGATAGGTCCAGGTGGTCAGAAGGGGAATGGCTGGGCAGTGGACTGATCGGCAAGACGGTGGGCCTTGCCGGGTTCAAGTGAGAATGTGTATTGGACATTGTGTGTGAGAGTGTGTAGAAGGGTGTATAGTGTAGGGGTGGAGCGTAGCTGCAGTACACTCGGTCTCCGGCGACGCTGACGGTGACTGAAGGGTCATGGCGCTCCATGGTAACATGAGTGGGGCCTGTGAGATCATGCTGCATGTGCATATCCACCAGGAAGTCAAGCTTCTTCTCCATGTCCGTCACCTTTGACAAAAGCAAGATAACACAAAGAAAACAGGAACAGTAAGAGCTAGTGCTGGATGCTATATCATTTATATCAGTATACCAGTATTAGTGTAACAGAACAGTACTGATTTTTAGGCCTTGTCCACACTTATATGGATTTTTAAAAACATTTTCATCCACACTAACAGTATTTAAAAAAATCTCCCCAACCACATGAGAACACAAAAACGACTTAAAACACTCACATTAGCATGCAAGTAGAGGGCAATAATACACCATAAAATTTCATGTCACATACCTCAAGAAGAACATTTTGAGCATGTGTATTGCACAAAATATAGAGTGCACTAAAAAGCAGAGGCAGAGATTTACTTGGTGGTGTGTTACAAATGCAGTGGGCTTTGACTTGCAGCTGTCAGAACTCAGTAATTCAATATTTCACACAAATTCAAAGTTTGAATTACGCCAAAAAATAAAAGCTAAAATGCCACGATGTTATTTATGTTGCCATAGCTGCCCCACCGTCTCAGAAACATCCACACAGACAGAGGAGGTAATGAGGTGACAAGGTGATGCCTTATTTAAAAGAACTGAGCGCAGTACATTCTGACGCCTCCATATTAGAGTTTAAAAGTAACTGTTGTCAGTCCCCCTAAACTGCCGAGCACACAGAAACAACCCAGTCATTAGATATATTTGAGAGGGAGTTCTGCATATGAAAATAGCTACACGCTACATAACTACAGGCTACATTGTTATGCCTAAACGAAAAAAACAACTAATTTTGGGAGTGTAACGACAAACTTTCTTTTTTCCATCTTTATGTGTTTTTCTCAAGCTCTTGGATAACATTCATAGATTTTCCATCTCCACACCCAAAAACATCACAATGAAGAACCTCCTCTCCAAAATGTAGATTATTGCTTACTGCCCTCTTCATACCAGTCTGTCTTTACACAGTGTTATTATGTGACAACATGGAAAAGTCCTTTATAACCATGACCAGAGGGAGGTGCTGCATTGAAATGACTCAAAATAATCCCTACAATCACAAATAACTGCTATTTTTAATATGCATAGGATTAGCTTATTATAATCAAAATATACAGGAACAGGGACCCTGGGTGCCTGCCTACCTTTATCAAGTGCAAAGACCACCTCTGGTTCCAGGACCTTATCATTTACAAATTAATCCCTGCCTAATTATATGTGACTACTATGAATTATTTTAATAAATATTATTTTTAAATATATTTGTTATGTAATTTTTTATACTAATATAAAAGTTATGTTGTTATGTGTAAGGAACTGAAGCATGGAGCCATACCCTTGCCATGGCCCCTTGGGGTTTAAGGGGTTAACATTCCGACAGAAACCAGAAAAAGATCATCATGAATCACCTCTTCACAAAAATAAAACAGCTCCGTAAAAACTGCATTTATGTAAGAAGGGCTGAGCGTAAAAGGCTAAAAGGAGTGGGAGACTGAAGGTGTTAGTACCTGTCTCTCCACACGCACAAATCTACTCATCATGCTTTGGTCCTCGGCATCCGGCAGGCCTGTTTTAGCCAGATAAGCCTCATGTCTGAGAGAGAGAGAGAGAGAGAGAGAGGGAGAGAGAGAAAGAGAGAGAGAGAAAAAGGGGGTGGGGAGGATGGAGGGAGAGAAAGAGAGGCGGAGAGGCAGAGGGAAGGTAGAAAGGGAAGGAGAGAGAGAGAGAGAGAAAGAAAGAGAGAGACTTAAAACCCTCTGAAAGGCAGTAAGCCTGAGAGAGCAGGAGGAGCATCAGGGTTAATGTAGCGTGACAGCCATTTCAGGATTACAATCACAATCTAAAGCTGTTTTAGGATGACGCTTTTACTTAATTTAGACTCACATCAAGACTTATTAAGATCCGCACTTATGATTAGTTTTGTATTATGAGTAGAATTATTTTAGGTTTATTGAGCATGTAATTATTGTAGGATTATGGTAATGGGTTAACTATGGTAATGATTTGGCAAGATTTAGACGTTCGTGATTAATTCAGTGCTCTAGCAGAGCCTATGGACCGTGAACACCCCATATGTTGGGGGGATTTCTGAATTTGGTGAAATTTTCTTAAACGTGCTGCACGTACAAATAAACGAGTAACTGGTCTTTTAAGTAACACTTCATTAGTCATTAAGGCTACTTCAGCTAACTTTTACCAATACTAGCAAATGTATTCTTCATAGCAAATGACACCTATTGGAATAGGCATTTATAAACATTTATGTAGGGTTATGTCAGTTGTCATGACAAGCTTAGGTAGGTGTCATGTAGCCTAATGAACATATCATACAGTAAAGTGTTACTGCCAAATGTGCGTTATACTTCAGTGTTCACAAATAGTGCTGGTTGCTGTGTGTTATAAACTGGAATAGATCAAAATCCTGGATTTGTATGTGGACCCTAAGGATTAAACTGACAACCTGATATAAATATCTATACAAAGAACATGTATACCAGGTCCAAACAAGTCATTTATTGCAGCTATTTGTATATTTTCGGAGGTGAACATGTTAACAAGTTTTTCCTTTGTTGTTTTTCGTTGTCACTTTGTTCTAGGGTTGTTGATTTTATAAGTTCATGTTTTATGTGTGGCTATTCTCACCAGGTGGAGGAGAAATAATGTGTCACAATTTCATCTAGGTATCTTAACATAATTATTTCTTATGTTGAAATAATCCATCTAAACCTCTTATCCTTCTGGGTCACAGTGGGGTGCTGGAGCCTATCCCAGCTGTCATTGGGCAGAAGGCAGGATACACCCTGGACAGGTCGCCAGTCCGTCGCAGGGCAGACAGACAGACACATTCACACCTAGGGGCAATTTCGCACGTCCAATCAGCCTGGCTGCATGTTTTTGAACTGTGGGAGGAAACCCACGCAGACACGGGGAGAACATACAAACTCCACACAGAAACAACCCTGGTCACCCGGCCGGGAATCGAACCCAGGATCTTCTTGCTGTGAAGCAACAGCGCTACCCACTGCGCCACCGTGCCACCCCCATGTTGAAATAATGACTTACTAAAATTCAAGAAAGTAATTATTTTGGAATGAGTATTATTAGTTTAAAGGAAATCAGTAATTATTTGTAATTTGTGGAATGCTGCAGAAAAAGGGAAGTAGGAAAAAAACAAGGTGATTTTTTTCTCCTCTACCTGGCCAGAATAGGCTTCCTTACAAACATGGTCATATTTTCCCCCCATTTTTTTGTAAATTTCACAAAAATATGTTTTTATATATTTTTACAGCCAATGTGATTTTTTGCTATCAAAACAGACTGGCTTTAGGTACAACAGGAACTGATAAAAAGCTAAAAAAGTTATATTTTTTAATATTGGATACATTTATTACATGTAATGATCCTATATCTTGAAGCAGTAGATTTTGAGCATATACTGTTTAGGATTATGGAATATCTGTTCAAATTAGATTTGAGTTAGTTATCCAGTCTTATATAGCTTAGAATGTTCAGGAGCAGGCACAAGTAGTAATCGCTTGAGGTTTCTTTACAGTAAGTCTATGTTGGTTATTTAGAGGTTAGTAAACTTGGCTGTTAAGGTTTCTTTTCAGTCAGTGTATGTCGGTTAGTAAGAGATTCTCACTTGGGGGACTGCTGAGATGGATAGGGGAAAGGTGTTTTCTGGGTCTTCTTGTGTTTTGGAGTAAGCGGTGGTCCAGGAGCAAGAATCAAATCTATTCTGGAGAGACAGAAACATAAAGCACAGATTTATTTCTTTTAAATATCTAACACACTGTTCAGTAAGATACAGATGGATGGAAGACCCCATAAAAATGAGGTAATACCTGTGTGTTTGTGTGTGTTTTACCGTGTCTGGAGGTATTTGATTCTGCAGAGCATGTCCAGGTGTCCTGCAGAGTACTGCTCTATCACATCCTTCACATCATATGGCCTCAGAGTCTCCTTAAAATGCTTTTTATTCAGCAGGAACATCATAATCCTAAAACACACACACAAATCAACCTCAGACAACAACAGAAAAGACAAAGAAGTGAAAGCGGACCACTATTTTGTAGGTCAAGTTAAATGTAGAGAATTTGGCTGAACTTGCTGCAGCTGACTCAAAACATCTTAAGCGCAGGGGTGGATAGTAACTTGTTCCTTTTACTAAGTTATGTATTTAGAGGCAAATTCCACCAAAGTCATTCACAGTGTTTTCGACTGAAAAGGTACATTGTAGTTAGATATCTTTAAAATGGTGGTGATAGGAACCAGGGGTCATGGTGTCTACTATGCAAATATAGCCATTTCATTTATAGGGGTCTTCTGTCTTCAACCCACATTAGAAAATGTTGTGTGTAATTACACATTTCCACCAGAGCGGTCTCCAAACCTCTAAATCTTACATAGTGCAGCTTTTATTAAGTTATTTTTAAGTTTTTTTTTTTAGTTTTTGAAAGAAATGCAAGCAAATCTGTTTTAAAACATCACGTTTGTATGACCTTAAACATGATCTGAATGTATGCGTGTGACTGTTAATCTGCTGAGTGCTATTGCTCTCAGCTAGTAGTTAAAGGTTAATGACCTTGCCCCTTTAATAGAAACCCATTTCACTCGATGGATGAGGGGCTTTATAAGGGATATTTTAGGCAGACTGCACTTTCCTGTCATTAATCAGTGGGAGTATGTGAGAACTTAGGGGATTATTAGTGTGAGTGGTGTGTGTGTGTGTGTGTGTGTGTGTGTGTGTGTGTGAGAAAGAGAGAGAGAGTGTGATGGGGGAGAGAGAGGTGAGGAGTAATGGGGATGTGTGAATGTGTGGGTGTAGTTGGGGGCAGTAGTGTGTGAGAGAGAGAGAAAAGTGAGGACGTTGTGTAAATGTGAATGCGGCTGCATATGAGAGATGGTGAGGACATTGTGAGTGTGTGGATGATGTGTGAGCTGAATGATGTGTGTCCTAAATGGCTTGTCAGTACAATGATGTATAATAGTGGATGGAGGAGGTGCTATATTCATGGAGTTAAATCATGAGACAGAGTGTTCTTTATCACAGCAGAGGACGCACAGCTGGTCACCTGCATTACCTCTGCGGGGCTTGACCGTGTGAAAAAAAGGGCACTCAGCTCCAAATAAGACATAATGTCAGACAGGGCTGGGCCTGTCATTTCTGGGGACCAATTGACCCATCTGTGCTCCACTCACAAAGAGGTTCCTTTGTAGCAGCTGTTATATGGTTGCATAAGCTTTACAGAACACTGGCAAAAATCCCATTTCATCTAAGTTTAAAAGGGTACGCTACACTCATAAAGTAATGGTTCAGAATGACTATTTTTCATTCACCTCAGATATAGTCAACCAGCCAAGACACGTTTTTGTTTCAAGAGGCTAATGTTGTTAGCAAACACTAGAAGTCTCATTAAGCTTCATTAAGGTCATACAGACAGTGTAGTCTGTTAATCTTCCATTTCTTTAACTGAAGATACACGTTTAAAATTAGAAAAAACAGAAAGCACAAATGCAATCTAGAGCCCATGCATGACATGCATGAACGTGAGGGAGAGTCAGATTGGGCACACCACTTGTTGTCTGTATTTATGTAAAAAACATTGTGTGACTATTGCTTCTAGTGCAGTTTTAAACTAAAGAAGCAAAATTTGGACACCAAATGTCTTTGTCTGATTTTTCACTTTTTGCAGACTCTGGATGAAGATTCTGCAGTGGTTGGACGTATGCTTCTAGGAAGAAATTGTCATTGGTATAGAAACTTAACATTATGTGGAGATTCTTCATACTTATATACCTCATTTACAAAAAAAGCTCTTTAGAGAACCATTCACTGAAAGGTTCTTTAGGAAACCAAAAGTGGATCTTCTGTAGCATCTCTTCCTTTTTGGTTAGATTTGGCATCTTTATCATTGTCAGGTGGCTATTCACTGTTGGCAATATTAGCTTTTGCAGGCTTGACATTAAGCTTTTTTGAGGACTAGTCCAATGGATAAGTAAATCCTCAAGGCCAAAATCACTTGTTCACACAAAAACATTCGCAAATGACTGCTGTAATGCTAAGTTTATATAAATTTTACAATGAACAAGAGAGAGAGAGAGAGAGAGAGAGAGAGAAAGATTATATATATATATATATATATATATATATATATATATATATATATATATATATATATAGAGAGAGAGAGAGAGAGAGAGAGAAGGACAGAAAATAATTCAGTTTTGATTTTGAATCAGAGGTTTGCATATGTGGAAGTAAAGTAAAAAGGTTTGCTGGCTAGCTATGGTATCTTTGAAGAAATATGAAACAAAACTGTTTACAGAGCTAACTACCTGTGGCCACCAAGCATTTGTGTGATGACAAAGGCCGCTACTGATCCTAGTTCATCTAAGAGTGAAGAGCAGCACTGGGAGCATTCACCAGCAAACATGTGTTTGTTCACCTTTTCCTGTGCCTTTTTAAGTATGTTTTGAAGTTGCACATGTATGTTTGAGATTTACCGTACTGCTCTGATGACTAGTTTGAGAGTAGGAATCATTTCCTCCATCAGGATGTCAGGGGGGAAGCCCTTTTCCTCAGGTGTGGGGTCTGTCAGACCACCTGCATCTAAGAGGAACAACCACAAGATTACTGTCAATAACAGACATTGTGCAATCAGCAATAACAAATAAACATTAAATTTTTTGAATGTATGTTTACATTAAAGAAATACTGCAGATGCATCTATGCATCTATATTGTACTGATGATTGCCAGGGACAATAATTTTGACTTTTGTATGTGTTTAGAAAAGAACAGAAATATGATTTTTTTTTGTAAGTCACTCTGGATAAGAGCGTCTGCTAAATGCTGTAAATGTAAATGTAAATGAAATTTGACTATATAACAGAAATTCAAAACACTCTAACAATACAGATCTTAGGGTGAGTCAGACATGAGAGAATGTCTCACCAGTTTGTCTTATATAGTTTTATTCAGATTTCAAACACCAGACTCGAGTTAATGTTAACTTTGACACCACTAAAAGTGTGTGATCATTTAGGCCTGTGGTTTTATGATGCTAAATGGTGGTGTATAAGCTTCCATTACTCTTTAGCTACATCAACCAAAAGGGAAACCCCAGGCCTTTGTAGACCTTCAGAGAAGGCCTAATGATTTCTGGGAACTCATAAATACATGTCTAATTTTTAGTTAATTTTTATTCACACTGTAAAAAATGAGAGGTCAGCTCAACTTAAAATGATATAGTAACTGATTACATGGCTTTTCTTGAGTTCACACAACTTGAACTTATAGTTGAGTCAAAAATTCTCCCAGCTACTGTTTTTAGGTCTGTATCTCAGGTAGATAAACAAAACTGAATTTGTATATTTTTACTCAACCTCCCCACTAGCTGGCACTCCTTCTATCACAGAGTACCATCCGGCATATTTTCCTCTTGGGCTTCTGGATATGGACAGCTGTGGTATTCCTGGGATTCAAACTCCCAATCTTGGGATGAATCATTAGACAACTGCACCACATGAGACTACATCATGCCTTAAAGTTAAAACAACAAATATTTTCTCCAGTGTATTAAACATTTGTAGACACAAAATCTGACATGCTTCATGTGTCCCTGAGTGGTGTAGTGGACTAAGCCATCACTCCAACATAAGGTTGTGAGTTTGAGCCCCAGCAATAGCCATCCATAAGTACATACACAGGAGGAAAGCTGTCTAGCAGGACTGTGTGATGAAAAAAGTCCTGGCTAGTGGGGATGTTGAGGGGTAAAAAAAAACAGTTCACTTTATTTAACCAACAGAGACGCAGAACTAAAAAATTAAGAGAACTTTTGATTCAACTAAGAAGTTTGAGTTGTGTAAACTCTGGTGTTATCAAGTTGAGTCAACTCAAGAAAAGCCATGCAATCAGTTACTGCAGCATTTTGAGTTGAGCTGACCTCTCATTACAGTGCAATAAACTCATGCTAGTATGTAAATTCTGCAAGTATTACAGTACTACTCTTGCTACATTATTAAGGTCTGGATGAAAACAAAAGGGTTAATTTCTTGAACTGCTGGGTGGTGGGGCTGGGGGGATTGGCCAATCAGGATTTAAGAGAATTGTTTTTCTCCATGGTATCTAGGTAGAACTCTACCATTGGTTCAGACTCCAAATGCTGAAGAGAAATCCTAACATCACCATCAGTATAATAACAAAGTGACAAAGGAATCAACCAATCATGTTTTGATTTACAATAGCTGGGACCAATTTTGTGCTAAAAAAGGCCTTCTCAAAGTTTTAGATACACCACTGGTGGTCAGTATGAGCAGCAGCCAAATCAATGTGTTGTTTGAACTGGAAAACAGTGGTAGCTCTATGCCAGGGCTCTTTACTGACTTTTAGAAGCGTCAAATGGTTATTATCAATTAGCATTATTGTGGAGATGGGCTTTTTTCTCATGTTTAGACATGCATGGCTTGAATTGAAGGCCTAACTCTAATAGTCACAGTTCGCCACTAACATCAGTTACAGTCGTATGCAAAAGGTTGGACACCCCTGGTCAAAGTAAATGCTCTTCTACTATGAACAAACTTAAATATGTCATTTTTTTTGCAAACTTCAGTGCAGAATTTCTATTTATTTGCCAAGCTTAACATACTGGAAAAAAGAAGCATAAAATATAAAATGTGCCATATGTTTCACACACATTTTATGTTAAATTTTTTCCCAATATGTTATAGAACATTTAGTAAACAAGCAGTAGTTGTGTATTAAATGTGCAGAAGTGTAGAGGATGTGTACTTATTTTTATATAGAAAATCAACAAAGCATGTCATTTGACTAGGGAGCCCCAAACTTTTGCTTGAGATTGTGTGTCCTGTTACTGTCTTTCAAGTAAAACTAAAGATGCAAACTTCAGATGCTAAACACAGCTTAGTTTATCAACTATATTTGAGGATAACATTAGATTTATTTGTAGGCACGGCAGTATTAGCTAAAGTAACGTACAAGTCAATGGTAAAGCCTGGTGCAGTCATGTGTGTGTGTTCATACCTTCTGAACTCTGTCTCAGAGCGTAGGCCTTCATTCTGAACGCAGTCCTGAATCTCTCTCTGTTGGTGAAGCCGGCAGGTTTTGCCTCTTTAGACGGACTGTCGACCTCTGCCGGCCCACAGTTCCCTGCTCCACTCCCAGGGTTCCCTGCAGGCATCATGAAGCGCCCTCTCACCGAGGATGGGCGTGGAGTGGGCAGACGCACGCGGTCCAGCAGAGTCAGCTTCTGACTGAGACACATACAGAGAAACACACAGCAATGTTAAACTCTCTACCGCAGAGCACAAGGAGCATGCCACCACTCCAAAGGGAAGGAGACGTTAAAATGTTAAAAATGAAGAAGCATTACACAGTCAGTAGAGAAAATAATATGCAGACATGGCAGCCTTCGCTGCTGTGAGTCACTCTGTTAAGTCTGAAATATACATTCAAAAGTCAGAGCTCTTGGGTCAGATTAGCAGGGCTGGTAGGGTTACTTTAAAAATGTGTTTCAGTACAGATTACTGTCAAAAAATGTAATATGTAACTAATCCAAAGGACTACTATATCTTAAACTAACATAATCTGATTATTACAATGTCTTCAAACAAGGCAAACAGTTTTAACTAGGTGACATATAATTGCCAAGACTGTTCCAGCTAGAAGCATTATGTCCCAGAGTATAACGTTATAGTGAGGATGATGACTGGCAACTTGCTAACTAGCTTACAGTAGCTTCCATAATCATAGAGAAACAAAATGTAACACAATTAACAACCACTGCCCTCGCATTTAACTGCCTAGTTAACTCAAGTAGCAGCTGACAGCACACAAAAGGTGAACGATAATTAACTCTCCTGTTATCCTCAAATTTACTTTTTAATGATGAGGAAAGCAAGAGAGAAGCCAGCAGTCACTTGTGAAGAGTAGCAGGACGACCTGAAAGCAGCAGGAACAACAGTTATTTAGAGAACAGTAAGCACTGTACCGCAAGCATCTCCATTCCTACACCCCACGCAAAACTCCTCTACTAAAAAGCAACATTTGCACACAAGCATTTAAATAAACCAGAACCTTTTCAGAACAACGGCCTGACCAGATGAAACTAAAATAGAACCCTGTCGCAATAATTCAGCTCGTGATGTTTGGAAAAAAATGGGTTTTCCTAAGGAAACCATACCCACAACACCACACCCACAGTGAAGTATACAGGTGGGAGCATCATGATATGGGACATATTATTTGATCTCATCAACAAGAAAAGGTAAGAAAATTGATTTTTCAACAAGATAATGACCCCAAACATACAGCCAAAATAAATCAAGACTGGTGAAGATGCAGGCATCTTCTGACTCAGATCCCATTGAAATTTTAAAATGCTGAAACCTAGTAACACTGGGGGACTGAAAACTATTTAAGAGGAAAGCTGAAAACGGCTAATTACCCACTGACATTGCCAACAACAGTGTTGTGAAAAAGTATTTTTGACTTTTTTAATGCTATTAATGTGTGGTGTTTGAATACCTTTTTTACCTAACAACTTCATTTTTTAAACATATATCCATTTATGCTTATGAAGGCACAGTTTTTTGTTTATTTTTACCTGTACAAAGTCAAAAGACATTATAAATTTGAAGTGGATATATGCATAGAAAGCATATTAAATAATAAAAACAAAAGCATCTGAATACTTGTTTCTCCTCACTGTAAATTAGGGGAGTGCGCCTAATACTGAGCCTAATTATTCTTCCCCAGTACTAAAAAAGCACTGAGTGTTGTTTTTTGTCCTCCTAAAACACTGACAAAAATGCAGTACTTCTGTTTCTGAAGTCCAGGATTAGAGATTAGCAAGTGCAGTTCACCATGACTGTTTCATAGACCTTTTAAAAAGTCAACTTTATTCCTTCACACACACACATACACACACACACACACACACACACACACACACACTCTGCCTACAAGCGAAACCAGACCCTCTTCTCGTAAACAATACCCTAAAACAACACAGGGCATTCTGTAGTGGCCAATCCCTTAGGATGGACCCTCAGAGACACACACACACGCGCAGACACACACTCTCACACACACAGTGGACTGAGGCTCTCTCCTGAGTGCAGTGAAAAGCAGGAGATTGCGCTGGTGAGAGAAGCTTTAAGGAGACGGAGACAATCCGCTCAGACAGAACAGACAGAATTACAACTGATTACCATGCAGTTACAGACAACACTTTCCCACACACACACAAACATACACACACACACACACACACACACACACACAAATACACACACACACACACACACAACCACTTCTCACGGTACTTGGATCGTCTATAGACAAATGGTGGACTTTGATGCCCCTGTTTGTGAGTGTGTGGGTAGGGGTGTGTGTGGGGAGCTTATAGGCCATACAGTGAGTGAACTGGCACTGAAAGAAAAGAGAGAACAGACAGGAAAAGAACATCACCTGACTGTAACTCATTCACACAAATGAATGAATGAATGAATGAAAGACAGGACAAAAATGAGGACTTTGCAGTCCAGAGTAATACAGGACTAACCTACAATATCAGCACCAGAAAAATGCTCCTGACTTTTTAAAGTGCCTTTTACAAAAGCTAGAGTACTGTGCAAAGGTCTGAGACCACCATTCTTTTATTTAATGTCCATTAAGTACAGGTTATTCATTGAGATAAACAGTATGTAAAGCTTGCTTCACATCTGAACACATCTACAGGTGTTTCTGTCCATCCTTCCACTGTGAGAAGACACTCAACACTATGAGTCTGAAAGGATGTGTAGCTGTCAAAAAGCCGGTACGGAGAAAAGAACATAGAAGAAATTTGTCTAATCAAATAAAGAATCTGCTTGTGTTCTCAGAGCAATGGCCTGGCCACCCCAGAATCCAGACCTTTACCTGAGAAGCAGAAAATAAACCAACTTCTAAGACTGAACTTTGGAGGTGTGAAAAAACATCCCTGCAGATTTCTTTGAAAAATTGGAAGCAAGTCTCCCCAAAAAAGAATGAAAGCAATAAGAAAGGAAAAAAGTTGGACACACTTACTGAAACATTTGACATATTTAATTGTGATACGTGTTACTTAATGGCCAATGTATAAAAATACAAGTCATTTAGACTGTATATTGAATTGAAAATAGTACAAAGACAACATATCAAATGTGAAATTTTGTTTTTTGAAAAATATATGCCCATTTTGAATTTGATGCCAGCAACACATTTCAAGTTGGGACAGGGGCATGTTTACCACTGTGTTGCATCACCTCTTCTTTTAACAACACTCTGTAAGCATTTGGAATCTGAGCAGACCAATTGCTGTAGTTTTAAAACTGAAATATTTTCCCATTTGTGCTTGATATAGGATTTCAGCTGCTCAGCAGTTCAGTCTCCTTTTTCGTATTTTATGTTTCAGAATGTGCTGCAGGCAGGCCACTTTAACACCTGGACTCTTTAATTACAGAGCCTTGCTGTTGTAATGTGGTTTGATATTGTCTTGCTGAAATAAGCAAGGCCTTCCCTGAAAAAGACATTGTCTGGATGGCAGCATATGTTGCTCCAAAACATGTATGTACCATTCAGCATTAATGGTGCCTTCACAGATGTGCAAGTCACCCATGCCATGTGCACTAATGCACCCTCATACCATCACAGATGCTAGCCTTTGAACTGTGTACAATTTCTCATTTTCAACATTTGATATGTTGTCTTTGTACTATTTGAAAGTGAATACACAGTTTAAATGATTTGCACATCATCGTGTTCAGTTTTTATTTACATTTTGCACAGCGTCTCAACTTTTTTGGAAACAGGGTTGGACATTTATAACACTATATACAGTATATATATAACTCATAAAAGTAATACATGTGACTGCACATTCTGACAAAAACAAATGTTTATGTGTGTGTGTGTGTTCTAGTTTCTCTGTTCGTGGGTAGTGATAATGTCAAACTACAAGTTCTCAGACTTCCCAGACTGCATGTGTGTGTGTGTGTGTGTGTGTCTGTGAGCAAAAGAGAACAGTAACTTGATCTTTGAGTGAACATGGATTACAGGGTGAGGCAATTCAGCCATGCAGAACTCAACACACTCTCTCTCTACTACTCTTTCTCTCTCTGCTTCTCTCTCTCCCTCTCTCTGTCTCTCAGTCTCTTTGTCTCTCTCTCTCTCTTTACTCTCTGTCTGTCTTTTACTCCTTCTACCACCCTCTCTGTATCTTTACCTCCCTCCCTATTCTCTGTATCATCCTCTGTATTTGTCCCTTTTGGTTTCTCTTCTCCTCTCTTTCTATCTTCTTCTGTCTCTCTATACATCCTTTCTCTCTCTCCTTATTTATCTCTCTCTACGTCTTTTTCTCTCTTCCCTTTGTCCCCATTTCTCTTTTCCTCCTCATCTCTCCCCTTTTCTTCCCCTCACTATTCTACTGTCTCTTCTCTCTCCCTCCCTCCCTTTCTCTACCTCTTTTCTCTTTCTCCTCTTCTGTCTCTCCCCCTTTTTTCTCTTTTCTCTCCCTCTTCTATTGTGTCTCTTCTCTCTTTCTCTTTTTTCTCCTTTTTCTTCCTCCAACTACCTCCCTCTTCCCCTACCTCTTCTCTCTTTTTCTCTCTCCTCCTCTCTCATTTCTCTTTCACTCCTATTTTCTGTCTCTCCCTTTTGCAACCTCTTTTCTCTGTCTCTCTCATCCCATTTCTCTTTCTCCCGTCTCTTCTTTCTCATCTCTCCATCTGTCTGTCTCTCTCCCTCTCTCTTTTCTCTCACGTTCTCTGTATTTTTCCCCTTTTTCCCTCTATATTTCTATCTCTCCCTCTACTTCTTTCTCTCCCCCTCTCTTTTCTATTTGATTCTTTCCCTTTCTTTCACTGTTTCTCACCCAATTGCACTCTTTCTCACTATTTGCCTCTATATCTGTCTTTCCCTCTCTACCACCTCTCTCTATCTCTCTCTCTCTCTCTCTCTCTCTCTCTCTCTCTCTCTCTCTCTCTCCGCTTGGCCACTCAATCTACTGCTCTTAATATATGGAGTGTGGGGTCAGTGTTCATGTCAAGGACGTCTGCAGAATGAAATCTCCTTCATAGTCATTTCTCGCTGGACCCTGTTAGTGATGCTAGCCCCCTCATATCATCTTTCATACTCCTTATACTATCACTGACATCTCACAGCGATCCATTACCAACACACACACACATACACACACACACACACACCCTCGCTCACCCTCTCTGACTCTCTGACTCTCTCCACTGACACCATCGTTTTTCAGTGGTCCATAACTCTGTCTCTTTCCTAATGGTTTCGGTAATTTCTCATACAGAACCACTGTCTGCATGTCAGAATGACTCTGCTCATTACACACACACACCCACACACACAACCACACACACTCACATCAGTGCTGCTTATTACGCCTGCAGTGGTAGAATAATGGCAGCAGTTATTGGGAGTTATTTAAAGAAACACATTACACAGAGCCATTAATCTCATGCTTAATTTCAGCTCTAAAGAGAAAGAGAGAGAGAGAGAGAGAGAAGCTTACCTAGCAATTGCTTCCAGATTTTCCTTCCTACAGGTGAAAGAATGCTCAGAATTATAAAGCAAATAGGTTACATTCACAATTCAACATATACACATACACAAACATTCACTCGCATCGCCAGGGCCAGTTAAGTATAAAAAGTACTGTATAAAAAGTGCTGTATAAAAAGTAATGACAACACTTTCTTTTACAGTCCCTTACATTCTAGGTATTAACCAGGTAAACACTTCATAGTACTAGGTAATTATTGCGAATATAGTGAGTTGCATTGCATTCATGAAACTACCCTGCTAGCTGTTAACTGTTCACTGGCACAATATCCAAAATATTGTGCAAAATGGGGAAGTACCACAACTAAATCACACTGAAAATCTAGCAAATAAGCTGATAAAGAACATAGTAAATAAATCCATAATCAGCAGCAATTGGGGGTTGAACGGTGGTGCAGTGGGTAATGCTGTCGTCTGGGTTCAACTCCCTGGCCGGGCAACCAGGGTTCTTGTCTATGTGGAGTTTGCATGTTCTCCCTGTGTCTGCGTGGGTTTCCCCCAGGTGCTCTGGTTTCCTTCCACAGTCCAAAGACATGCTGTCAGGCGAATTGGAGATTTTACACTGGCTCTAGGTGTGAATCTGTATGTCTGTGTGTCTGATGGGTGATGGACTGGTGGCCTGTCCAGGGTGTTCCTTGCCTTCCACCCAATGAGTGCTGGGATAGGCTCCAGCACCCCCCATGACCCAAGAGGATAAGCAGCTTAGAAAATATGCAATAAAGCAAGAGAGTAAATCAGAAAACTCTCTATATAAATGGTGAGGGGCCAGTAAAACCATAGTGAGAATCACTGCTTTCTTTAACAGCCCAGATTTGGTTTCATTTCTAGGTAATAGACAAGAACATACCATACACATGCTATATAAATAAGACTCTTGTGCCATCAAGTGTCTTTGAACCACCTTATTAACCCATATAACTGCATGCTACTTAGTAATTATTCTCATTTACCTTCCAATTTTAACGTGACATTACTGACATTACAGTAAAATTTAATGTGAGTTTGTCTGTACTTACCACCTTGTTACTCCAAATAATTATCCAATAATGAGATATTTTACTATGTCCTTCATCAGCGTAAAATCTAGAACCTGTCATTCCAGTGTAATTAAGATATGGTCTGGTTACTATCATTTTACCCAAAATAATTACACAGCACTTTGGAGTTTGTACCTCACCCTTACCTATAACTGGCCAGAAGGTTTAGCACATTAAAGGCTCAGACTTACTTTTTTTAACCCATATTCAAAAAATACAGTTGTATGGTTAATCTGGCCAAGCGCATAGCACATGTATTAATATACGGACAAAGTACATCATGCTAAACGTACACACACATGCACACACACACAGTACCTCATTCTAAACTCCTGGCAGATCTGCAGATGGAACTTCGCATGCAAAATGAACTATAACACAAATAAGTGAATTTGGCGTAAATCACAACAACGACTAATGAAAATTAACAAAAATGAAAGGAATGATTCTTTACATACATACTTTCAAAATATAAAGTGAAACACAAACAGAACTGCGATACATGATTAAAAACAGTGCTGGGTGATATTGATCAAATTTAATATTATAATATTTCCCACGGTATCAGATGATATTGAGGTTAGCATTGAAACTCATGTCTGCTGAGTTCTGATACTTATAAATCTGGTATAGCTTGTTCTGACTGGACTGTTTTTTGTTCTGTTGTGCTTCTATAAAAATGACACAATATTGTAAATCGCTCATTTGTTACATGAGTGTTACAAATATACACAGAAAGCACATTTCCAGAAAGGTAAAACATGCTATTCATTGATTTTTATTTATTTTACACTGTCCACCCTTCATTTATCTAATTTCCAGTCAAAATAGCCATTAGGTAACCTTATGCACCATTCAGCATCAGAAAAAAAGCATAAAAAACATCTATTTAACATATTACACGTATTTAACATTTTAAAATTACGCAGCTAACATATTGTATTGTTCAGTGTACAAAAGAGAATTAAAAAAAAAAACTTGGCTATTTTATGGACAGTATATGAATATAATACATTATATAGATAAAATATTGTATGGATATCACAAATTATAAGAATATAGTGTTAATTATCTATCAAATACATCTCTTAAAATATAGCTAAAAACTAAAAAACAATATTACTGTGTTAGTATCACCGAATACCAGTATAGATAACATATCAACCAGCACTAATTGCAAATGAGCAAGAAACTAAGGGAAAATTGGAAAAATGCATGTATGTTTGTAACGTGTGTGGGGTGTAGAGATAACACACCTGAAGCATGGCAGAGATATCACTGTTTCGTAGAATCTCCATGTTGCAATAAGGTCTTCTCTCATAGGATTTGTGGCATAATATCGCCATGCCGCCTGGTACAAAACAGCAGTGTCAACAGTGCATGTACAGATAAGCTCCATAAATCTGAACCTCTTCTGAGAAGAGTTATAACTCCTTGTCTTATGATTGTTATTTAATCTAAGGATATTAGTATAGGTTTCGGTGGCTATTTCTTACTGATCCCTGTATGGTGGATGACAGGTTCACAGGGTCTGTGGTGAGATGTGATGTGATGTGACTGGCCAATAGATTGTGAGGTGTATGATTGGCTGAGATAATAACAGTGTAGAGAATGATTGGTTGAGAGTTTACCTGTATGAGTCCGGCTGCAGGGTGTCTGCGTTTCTCAAAGTGTTTCTGCCTGTGCTGTTCCTGAACTTTAAGAGCCAAACCAGAACCCAGGATCCCCTACAGACACAACCAATCAAACACAGAGCCATCCGAAATCAGGATCAGCTATCAGTCAAACACAGAGAGGCCTGCACTCAACATGCCCGACAGACACAAACAAACACAGAGCTAAACCTAAAATATCTTATAGACACAACCAATCAAAGACGGCACAAGCCTTTTTCGGCAGTTTCAGATGCGTATCGGACACGTTCTGCCCATGTGTTATGTACAAAACTGGTGCACCAGCCTAAATGTGCAGTTTTTAAATGCACTTCTCTAATTGAATCTTTTCAAAACTAGACATACATTTGTGTTACAATCTTAAATGCATGTGTTGTGCCAGCAGTCATAGCGACTAGATGGAGGCACAAGCCATGAAAACATGCTGAAAGAATATTTAACATCAAAATAACATAACGTAACATAACATACTAACATTTCAACTCTCAGGAGTAGATACACATAAACTCAGGTCCATAAATTGAGTAATGAATATGTGCTCAAAGTGCAGACTTTCAGCTTTAGTTTGAAGGCATTTACATCCAAATTGGGTGAATGGTGTAGGAATTACATAGCCCTCTATTTTTAGGGCCTCAAAAGTAATTAGACAAATTAACAATCATGAATTAAATTGTCATTTTTAATACTTGATTGCAAATCCTTTGCAGTTAATGACTGCCTGAAGTCCAGAATCCATTGACATCACTAGACGCTGGCTTTCTTCCCTGGTGATGTTCTGCTAGGCCTTTACTGCAGCTTTCTTCAGTTCCTGCTTGTATTTGAAGTGTTTTACCTTGTTTTTTGTTTTACCTAAAAAGGTCTTGGGTTGCTTTCACAGTATGCTTTGGGTCATTGTCGATCTACACTGTGAAATGCTGTCTGATGAGTTTTGAAGCATTTGGTTGAAGCTAAGTAGATAATATAGCTCAATACACTATTCTTACTATTCATCTGCTGCTTTTTGTCAGCAGTCACATCAACAGTAAATAGCACTACCTCCACCATGCTTGACACATGAGGTGGTAGGCTTTTGATCAATCAAAGGTCTGTGTTTAAGCTAAACCTAGTGTGGGAGAGTGAAAGTAGCTTGACACTAGGTAGAAAGGAAGAAGGAAGAATAGGAGTACTCACAGCCGGTAGAGCGAAGAATGAAACACCGATCAAAGCAAAGGTTCCAGCAAGCAGACGTCCTGCCCATGTCTTTGGTGTCTTATCACCATATCCAATGGTTGTCAAAGTTATCTAACACAGGGATTGCACAGTATTGAATCATATGAGCATAACCCTCCTGTCTCTATCTTTCTTTTATATACCACCAGCTGGATACATTGGCTTTAAAAGCCACATTTCTCTTGCAGGAACTCTAAAACATCCAGTTAATATGTTGGTAAGAATTTACTTGAATCCCAGATTCGTCATGTATGAATGCATTAGTCAGCGGAAGTGTTCATGTGTGCATATTTGTGTTAATGTTTGTAATGTGTGGTAATGTTGAGTGTTTTCGAGTGTGTTACTGTCCTAGTAAGCATATGTGTTTATAAAGTTTGTGTTTTCTCTCACCAGCCCCCACCACAGTGCATCTGCATAGGTGTCAAAGTCCTGCGCAGGTGTGGGAGTGGGGGTGAGGTCTTCCTCGACTGACCCGTCTGTCATTACAACATCCTTCTCCACAAGATAAACCAGGAACGAGGCCAAGATCAGAGAGAGAAAACCTATGTACCAGGCAGTGATCAGCTCCTACATAAACAAAAACAAAATCACATTGACACACAACCAGTAGTTTTCATGCTGTACACCCACATACAGTGTCTTGTAAGTAAGTATGCAATATGAATGTGTTTTTGGTGTAGATACAGTAGCTTTTGTGTACTTGAGTGTGTGCCTAAAAGAAAGAAAAATCAAAAAAGAGAGCTCCTCACCACAGTGACACTAACATGGTGGTGCCATGTTAATGTGTGTTGCGCTGGCACAAGTTTATATTACACAACAGTATTACTGTGTCCACTTACTGTCTGCTCTATTAGACACACCTACCTTGTTGGTCCTTGTATATGTAAAGTTAAAGACTATAGCTCAGTGATCACAAATCCACCTCCTCGAGATCTACTGTCCTGCAGAGTTTAGTTCCAGCCTTCATCTAATATGTTACACCCATCAGTAAAGCATCTGATCCAGCCAATCAAGGACCTCTGAAGAAGTTATTTGGTATATGTGTGTGTATACCTTGCTGTGGGCACATATTGCGGACCCCAGCAGTTTCCAGGTGCCTCCTCGGCGGTCCATACGCAGCATGCGCAGGATCTGCAGAAAGCGCAGACTCCGGAGAGACGTGGCCAACACATTTCCTTGATTGCCCAATGCCACTACCGGCACTGACGCTATCAGCACAAAGATATCTGCACAAACATAATGTACACTTTATTCAACAAGAAGACAGAGTGCATGTGTGTGTGTTTTGTTATACACAGGCACTAAATTGTGATCTTGCTTAATTAGGCCTGAATGATTAATCATTTTTATATCAAAATCACAATGTGAAGTTTTTTATTATATGTGCTTTATTGAGTCTAGGAGCAGCACAGCATCGCCAGCAAAGCAGCACCACCTGGTGAAGTCAGTCCAGGAATTTGAATGTGCAACCTCTCCTACCACTAGGCTACCAACCTTTTAATTTTATTTCTATTCTACATTACTTAACCTGGTCTTAACAAGCTTTAATTTGGGAAATACCTAATAGTGCAGAACTTGTGAACTGCCAGTCTGGCACACTACATTCAACATTTAAGATTCAAGTCTGAAAAAAATTAATGCTAGTCTTCTTGGAGATTAAAAAAAAGGCCTTGAGCTTAATTTATGTAAAATAATCACATTTAAATTGCAATTGCAATATGGGTCTGAAAAATTGCAATACATATGATGACATATAAAATGCCAGAGCCTTTGCATTGTCTACCTTGTCTTTCATGTTAGCTGTTAGCATCACATTTATCAAGCTTCACTACCTCGTTTTGCCTGCGTCACAGTGTTCAAACTAAACTTTGTAAAAAGGGCTGGAATGATGGCTAATAAAAGATGTTACGTCAAAAAACTACAACATGTAATACATTTCAAAGAGTTACAGTACACATTTAACGAAATGTGTTTAAATATTAAGTCTGTATGTAGACTGTAGGATATTTTTTGTCACAGAACTGGCAGCTGTTACTATATACCAGTCTGTAGGTATAGTAAAAAAATACATATAACAACAAAAAAAAAACATTTTTGTTTAATGCTACTCCCTAAAAGTTTTTTAGACATGTACCTTAGAGGCATTGAGCCAGATTCATAAAATGCACCACCATATTTACTGTGAAGTTTAAGATCAAATAACGAGGTAGTAACGTTTGCACAATGTGAGGCGTGGCTGCACTTTTATTTGATTTACATAAGGCAGTAGCAATTCATAACAAGACATAATCTCACAACAGCGCCTGAGCCATTGTATCATAGTAGTAAGTTTAGTTTAGTTTAGTTTACAGTCCAAATAAGTGAAGAGCAATTTGACATGTTGAGTTTCTAATTGCATGTTCAAATGGATTTTATTGCAAGCAGCTTTAACTTTTAATCCTACTTTTCCATTTGTAATTGATTTGACAAAAAGAATTCAATTTATACATGTGGCAATGACATTTTTAGTATTGGAAATTCATTTCTAACCAGTGAAAACTAGTCAAATGTAATAATTAGTAGTGTAATTTTAATTGTCACATGTGTAAACTGAATTCCTGACATCAAGAATATTAGGAAATAAAAGCTAAAATGGCTTGCCATAATAATTAGAATTTCAGCAATTTTTATTGAGTTAAAAAAAATGACCACACGTTAAAAGAAATTAAAAAATTTCTAGTATGAACAACATTTGACCGGAGCTTCACTTAATGCAGATGTTTAATATGTCTGACCTCATTTATGTGGATTTTAACTGGCTCTTGACTCTCACACCGGTGAAAATACCGCAGCATTAAAAAACAGAGGTGCACTAGTCATCACCATGTGACTTTATAAATATGTCTTATTTACCGTGCTGCACATTTTGCATGGCTAATGCTGACTTTACCACTGAAGAATTCAGCTCAATGCGTTTTCTTCCAGAAAACAGTATATTGAATATGTTATTAGCTTATTTTGCTACAGTATTATTGGAGTCAGTACAACACCATGTGAATACCAGCTCTATCAGGATCAATCTATTAAACTCAATAAACAAACTGACTAAAACATCACCGATTAAAAATGACCTTCTTAATAAGTCAGCAAAGATGAGTTGGCAATTTGCATGATGATACTGCAGGTTTTAAATTTTCCTACTGGCCTTTCTTAACTAAGAAACTGTGTGTGATCGATACACAACTCAATCAAAGACATTCAGAGTGATTTAAGGAGAAATATCTCAAGAATTCTCAATAAACTTAGAAAGTCAGAATTGTTCACAATGGTGGTGATAGAAGCCAGATGTCTGCAGATTTCTCTACAAAGCATTTCACATCAAACTACTCTGAATGCCTTTGTTTTCATCTCAAGGTCATTTTGAATTTCCCATTAAGCCCATTTTTATTGTTTGGCCTTTATATAAATGGCTTACTTGATTAAGCATCAAGAAAAAAGTAGATTACTGAATTATCCATATAATCAATAGTGACAGCTCTAAAGTATACTAATACATGAAGTGTGTGTATGTGTGTTTATGCGAGACAGACACTTGCCCAGTATACACAGTGGTTTGCGGGCGAATTTGAGCCGCCCTCTCCAGCCCTTGTATCTACAACAGCATCCTGCTGCCCAGACCCTTAGCACAAACTCCGCTCCGAAAATAAAGATAGTGAATGTTTCCTACAGGATGAGAGGCAGAGAGAAAAATACGGTTAATAATATCAGCTTACACATTCCTCTGTATTTATCTCTGTTTATGTCTGTTCCTCAGCATACACAAGAGGACTCATTTAAAGCTAACAAACTTCCACTGCTGAATCACCACTTAGCAGTGACTCATCGTTCTGTTTAATTCCAGCACATATCCAGCCTAGCTCCGAGTGCTCTCATTGTTGCTGAACACATGCAGTACATACATATACACATAGCCAAACGTATAAGGAACTATATTTGATACTTTCTGATGTGCTAGTATTTCCTTAGCTTTTAGTATAACATCTTTAGTATTACGAAGCCTTTTTTTTATTTTGCTTGCACCACAGTGTTTAGCTAAATATTACTATGCCAAAGAACTATAACCACTAACACCAACAGATGTAAGCCTCATCAAATCACGTAGGGTGAGGCCTTATGTTAACTACACATTTATGTTTGCATGAAAAATTACAAATTTTGTTGGTTTTTGAAGCGAAACGTAAAAGTAAACACAACCTTGGCAGAAAACTGTTATAAAAATATCATTGTTTTGCAGATGTTAATCCACAGTTACTTTATATTTAAAAATATAAAATAACTAATTAAAAAGTAAAATAGTCATTGTGGCATGTGTAAAAAGTTTAGACACCTTCTAGACTGTGAACTTAATTAAATTGTTAGGCATTAATTGACTTGTTAGAACTGTTTGGGCAGGTTAAGAATTGTCATTAGGAATTGTCAGCTGAAGACAATTCCAGAGTGCAATAGATTTTCTGACCCTATAGTCTTTGTGTTATATATATATATATATATATATATATATATATATATATATATATATAGCTTGCAATTTCCACTGTCCAAATTGCAGTTAAGGGGAACTGTGCAACTGTGGAAGTCAAGGCAAAAAGTGGAATACCAAGACCTCAAACAGAACTCCTTGTATCCTGGCCAGCAAGACAAAGCAAAACCCCCATATGACAGCAAAGACCTGCAATAGTTTTGCTGTCACAGGAGTGGTGGTGTATCGTTCTACTCTGCAGTGCTGCTTGCACAAACATGATTTGCATGGAAAAGTAGTCAGCAGGAAATCACAAACCTCATCACAAAAGTCAACATGCAGAGTATGCAAAACAAGATCTAGATAAGCCAAAAGCATGGAAACAAGAGCTGTAGATGGACCTCTTTGGCTGCAATCACAAAAATAAAAAAAAGAAGGAACATTTGATAAAAAGAACATCTTGCCAACTGTTAAACAGGGGAGTGTAACAATTGAATCTATTTTGCTTTTGCTTTATGCATTGGTGTGGTAGCCAGTGGCACAGGAGACACTGCATGGGTAGATGGAAGAATAAATGCCACAAAACATTATAAAATTCTGGAAGCAAGTGTGATTACTGAACATTTATGAGTAGATATTAAACATGGGGTGCACACAAGACAGCCCAAGAATATTGCAGCACTAGAAGCGTTCTGTAAGGCAGAGTGGGTAAAAATTTCTGAAAGAAGAATAGGAAGACTCCACTAGAATAAAAATACTTCTGGCCACAAAAAGCATTTGCAAGCTGTGATATCTGCCACAGGCGAAAGTACTTACTTAGTAGGGTGCCCAAAAACCTTTGCACATGCTGCAATTATTATTTTATTTGTGTCCTATTTTTTTAGTTAATCAAATAGAAAATGACAACAGCATTGCAGAAAAAATTGTGAGGTTGTGTTTATTTCATTTCACTTAAAAACTCAACAAAATATGTATTTTGTCAGGGGTGCCCAAACTTTTGCATACAACTGTAGCTAAATATGTTAAATCTTGTCCTTATTTTCTGCCTACTTTCTTTTCTCAGTAACAGCTTCTTGACAGCTACACATCCTTTCAGACTCATAGTGTTGAGTTGTCTTCTCACAGTGGAAGAATGGACAGAAACAGCTGTGGATTTTTTCAGATGTGATGGATTTTCTCCTTTTTCTCAATGATGAAAGCTTTAAGTACTGTTTATCTGATGGGGACAGTTTTAGTGTTCTACCAGGTCTTGCACAGTTTTAGGAGTCCCATTATCTCTATAGTTTTTAAAAGTAAAATAGTATTAGCCATTTTAGATGTACATGAGAAAGAAATGTACAAGGCAGCTGAGGTGAGTTTGGGTGGATGTTAGTGTCTGTTTGAAGGGGAACATAAAGTCAGTGAGAGCTTTGGGAACAGCTTTTGTTGGGAGGACACAGCTGGTTGATTTTAACATTGGAAAGAGGGAAGAGTTAAAGTGGTAATAGATGCATAAAAGTTATTTGTGGATAAATTAAATACAGATTTGATATTATACTTAATGTTGGATGTAATTTTTGTAATTTTACTATAGATATATATTTCCTGCTTTTTCCCCAATGCTGTGTAACATATATGAAAATGTATAACTTGTACTTTAGGGACGTTTTGACTGGAAATTAAATAAATGAATGGGTGGTCTCTGAAGTATATTAAATTAAATGACAATTTTGGATCACTTCTATCGGTCCATTCTTCATAATATGTTTACACTCACAAATACAAGCACACACATACAGTTATCATTTGTTTTTGAGAAATAAACACTCACCAGAACCACCAGCCAGTGACCTGAGTCAGCCTCGTACTCTTTAAATGTGGTCAGAATAGCCAGAATCAGACAGCCCAGAACTATCAGAAACCTAGAGAGAGAGAAATAGAGAGACACTCAGTGAACTGTTAATGATTTTAGTATCCCAGCTGGTGGCTAAGTGGTTGCTTGTGGTTGCTATGATATCCCACCTGGTTAACAGAGTGTTGCTAATGGACTTATATCATTATGTAAAAAGCTGGTAGCACAAATATTTGCCCCTCATTCATTCCTATGGAGAAAAAAATTGCTATATATAATGATTGTATGAAAACTGCACTTTGCAATGTGCAATTACCTATAAATAGTGAGAAATAAATCTAAGCATGACAGAAATATTATTGTTAACTGGCCAAAGTTCATAGGGAAAACTAGATTAGACTAGATTTCTTGTATTCCTTATGCATTTTTTTTTTAAATTGTAAAAAAAAACAAACCTACTTTATACAAATATATCAAATGAGTTGACACATGGTGTAAGACACTCTTTTAGCAACAGAGTACCAGCACTCAGGACGCATGGGTTCATTACTTATTATTACTGTTAATTCATACTTTTTACTGCAGGCATAATCATTGTCAAAGTAAATGCATCCATTCATTTACATTTTGACTGAGGCTAACAGTGCCAGTACGGACGAAAGATACGTGTCCATACATATAGACCACATTAAAAATCTGATTTTTTTTTTCATTTAAACCTGGAAATAAACAACAAAAAGTTTCAGAATCTTGAAAAATTCAGAACAAAGAAAAGTTATGACAATTAAAATGAAAAATAAATATTTTAAATTCTGCACTATTTCTAGGTCACTACTCAAACTGAAGTAAATTTGTGAAATTGACCATGTTAAGGCTTTTGTATAAAAAGGTCAGAATTTTTTAGTCTTGTTCCTTCCATGGGTTTACTAATCAGAGGCTTTTGCATAAACTTATGGAGTCTATGCCAGCTCAAATGCACACTGCTATTAAAGTAAAAGGAGGACGCACCAAATACTAAGAAATTCTGAAATTCATGCAAACATTTAAACATTCTCTTTTTCACTCAAATTGCTGTGCTGAAAATAGAAGACTTTTATACCCCACTTTTTATGATGTTTTAAAATATGGGTGTCAAAAATATTTAACTGTGCCATTTTTGGTATGCCATGCACACGTATGTCAGTATGTTGGAATATATGCACATATGTAGATGAAATATATGTAATATATTATGTAATAGTAATTTTTTAATATTTACATATATGTAAAACATATATAGTTGTATATTACAAACTTGACACATATTTTGAAAAACAAAACCTGATAATTTTGCAGGAGAAGGAAAACAACCTTCTTAACTTGTAATGGAGGTTAATGTAACAATATTTTTTTGACCATTTGTGTCGGTCCATTTATTATGAAAAAATAATACAATGCAAATTAAGTAAAAAAGTAAAAAATGACAAAAATGGAGATACAAGGCTTTTGCGTGACGGTGACAATATGGAAATATTTTTCCTTTGCGTATGGATGACCATGTTCACGTGCAGACAATACCAGATTTGACCAGCTGGAGGAGCTGTTCTGTAAGCGGCAATGCTGTAAAGGCATCATAGAGTGAAGGGGGGCAAAAAGCAGCTGCAGTTTTTTTTTAAGCAGTATGCTGAACCCCTGTCGCATTCCCTTTCCTTTACACTCCTCAGTCAGGCAGGTAAACAGCCACACACAGTAGTGCTGTCTCAGCCCGATATCATTAAATACAGCAAATCTCTGCATGTGTGTGTGCAGATGTGTGTCTGTTTGATTCTTGATTGCTTGCGTCTTATTCACCTGGCTCACCAGTACAGACTTAAGAAAAATCAGCAGAACACAAACACTCACACAGAACAAAAAATAGAACCCATAGCGCCCTGTTGATTCCTTCTTTATCCGTTTTTCAGGTGACCTGTTGACACTGTTACCATGGTTACTGTGGATTCAGGGTTTCATTTGCTAGTTGCCATGGTTTTTACCATAATATTTTAACATTCTGTGTGTATGTGTGTGTGTGTATGTGAGAGAGAGAGAGAGAGAGAGAGAGAGAGAGAGAGAGAGAGAAAGAGAGAGCTATAGCACCTGAGGGGTTTTCACTAACAACCAATTTGCACCAGAGGTCCAATAAAGAAATGCAGAGTGTGTGAATCAGATAATAATCTCCCTTAGCCACCTACACACAAACACCACACACACACAGACTCTCTCTCACACACACACAGAAACACCCCGCAGGGACCCTGTCTTCACAAGGTCAAGAGAAGGGCTTTACAGCATATAGCACAGGTTACATTAAATGAATGATTTTGCCAGAAATCAAGTTCACACTATTTCCTACTTAACCCAGATGTAGACAGTCAGCATGTTTGGAGCCCAAATTTTGATTCTTTAGTTTAGCACTGGAGCTATGAGGCGTACACTGCTAACAAAGATTAAAAATCAATAGACACCCAAATCTTTTCTGTAAAAAACATGCCCAAAACACTGTATAAACTACTATGAGCTATAATAATGAACAAAAGATCGCCGTGTAGTCGAACACACCGACGTGAACACGGGCAAGTCTGTAGCTGTTTTCATTTATTAAGTATGCAGGACTCTGAAAACTGGATTGGTTCTGTGTGCTTGACAGTTTGGGGTGATTTGGGAGTTTCATGTTTATAATTGAATCTGAGTGCAGTACATGGCAGAGACGTCATGTACTGTGCTCAATTCTTGTAAATATTAGAAATACCTCAGGGACTCTAAGATATATGACTTGATGCTTATCAAAATATATCCCAATTCCACAACTCAAATCGGGTGAATATCTAGAAAATATTCTGCCCTATCAGGATTGTGTGACATATCCAGAGACAGTGGTGTAAGCGTGGCTACATAAACAACCCATAAACAAGTGGGTTTTTAAAAAACCTTTGTAAGGTTTTATTTTCCAGCAAAAATTGGATTTTGAATCTGTTTGAAACATCGAATTACAGAGATCTGGTGGCCTGCAGCCCAAAGCCTACAGTATTTATTAGAAAAGCTCTGCTTTAGATTCATGCTGTGCTCTGTATTTTGTACAGTGTGCATGCACACAATGTTCTTCTGGAGGTGTAGGATATCTCATTTTTTGGACAGATCACATTTTATGGGGTATTATCTCCCCCTACTGGGCTTGCATGCTCATGCAGGTGTTTTCATGTTGTTTTGTGTAGATGTAGAGATTTTTGAAAATGCTGCTGGTGTGGAAAAGCATGTTTTTTGAAAATGGGAAAAAAAACTGCATTTTGAAAATATCCAGATTTGTGTGGACAAGGCCTTAGTCAACAGGTGTCCCCAGCAGAGTCCGCCTCCCTGTTATGTGCACTCGCATCACACGGACACATGAACACCAGGTCACGTCCATGATTTCTGATGTGTCTATTTATACACATATATCTCAAGTTCAGAAATTCAAGATTAACACCTATTTATATAAAGAAACAAACAAATTTGTCACAACACCTGTTGTCTAAAGTGGTTGCCCCCAGCATTCAGCTACATGGTGAAGTTTTGTTCATTGTATAGTTCACAGTAATGCATTCTGTGTCCTAAACTACAAGTCTGCATGACATTGATGAAAGGCTGGATGAAGGGCTGAGTGGGTGAGAGAAGTCTTGGGCATGTATTTATGCGAAAGATTTTCCAGTGACTATTGTCTCCTACTGTTTGATAGCCTCCATCTCTTAGCTGATGTTCTATACCTGGGATAAGTGGAAAATTGTGTAATTTTTTGCTAAACAGTTCCTCTAACACCACACACACACACACACACACACACACACACAGAGGTTACAAACTTGCTACTGTAGAAAACAATCCTGTTTGTAGAATCTGCCCAATTGTAAGAAAATGACCTCAGCTGAGGAGATATACTGATCAGTAGGCAAGAGTGGCATCTCTGCCACAGAAAGCCTGGTCGGGAATAATAAACTGTAGGAGCAGCAGCCGACTCGTCAATGAAATTACACACAAACCTGATCCAAGCACAAACACACTCCATCAATGAAATTCACAAATTAACGAAACATGGTGCAGGAGTTAGTGGACGTGGAGACAGGAATATGAGTGATATGATAATGACATTGGATCTCACAAAACCTTGTTATACAGCATCACATTACAAATCCAAAGTTCACTGCACGAAAAGATGCACAACGATCTTTCATCGGGGCAAACTTGTCAAAACCTCTAATCCATGAATGAACTTAAGTGATAGCATAGCAAGTGCATAAAAGGGCAGGCAAGGAAAGCATAAGTGTTTTTTAGCTGCACTTGTAATTAGCCATGTTCTCTCTTGACTCATTCTGGCTTGAAGGAGCAGTTTTTGTCCTTTCCAGACTGAATGATGTTGAAATCCTCTGGCTGGTGGGGGCCCAAACGTTCAATCTCTAATTTCTGCTCTAATGGCTGGTACCAAATTTACCTTTCATTACATATTCGACTTGACTCATGGTTTTGCCTTGCTATTATGAGCGGCTACCACAACTGATGAGGAACAATGGCTAGCTGCATAGTAACACCCATACGTAAACAATGTTACTAAACGCATGGGCGTATGTAAATGTATTATGTTTTATTGGCTGCTCTCAACATGGGGCCAACGTGATCGGGCTCCAGAGCTGGTTATTGAAAGCGCGTTGAGCGTTTTTAACTGTTCACTTGGTTAGACGAACACTGAAAGGCCGATTTGGAATGTATCGGACAGCTCTACCATTGTCATATGTAATAAACGTGCAACAATGTTAGTTATGAAGAATTATTGATGATGCCGTGCACTGCTCCACAGTGACACCTAGTGGGCAAGGCCGCACTGGCCCCTAATGTAGAGACACCACTGGTAGGCAAATAGAAAAAGAAAAACATCACTGGCTATAGTTAGCACAAATATGCAGATACAGAACTGAGCAATATGATGATACTTACTGTTATCATGATTACATCACTATATGACACTGTATGCTTTCCTTGAGCATATACGTTCTATTTATACTGTCTGTATCAGACACATACTGT